GGGACAGGAGGAGGACGCGGACGCGAACCACGACCACTAGCGCGGGCAGCACGAACAGGCGACGCGGGACGAGACTCAGGCTCACGACGCTCAGCAAGACCTCCAGTAGGACCAGTGTAAGGAGAGGGAGCAGGCAGTGGGGAGGTAGGCTCCAACAGTGACTGCGACTGGACACGCTGTGGACACTCTACCGGAGGAGAAAGACCAAGAACCTGCTGCAGAAGCGGAACGAAGTACGGCCGAGGCCGCGCGGCAGCTCCAGACTCAGCAGGGACAGCACCAGCACCCTCAGCGGCAGCACCAGCGCCACCAACACCTCCAGCGGCAGGACCTCCAGCAGCACCAGCAGCAGAACCACCGTCAGGACAGACAGCAGCAGACTCAGCACCAACGCCCTCAGCAGCCCCAGCTCCAGTAGGACCCGCAGGCGTAGCACCTCCGGGACCGGCGGCACTAGTACCCTCGACGGTCGAAGAAGCTCCAGCTCCAGCAGTACGCCTCCAGCGGCGAGCAAACCACTCGCGCAGCTCCTGTGGAGAGAGGGCCTCCCGCCGAGACGCAGCACCAGGAGAAACCCCAGGCTCAGCGGCCCCAGACGTAGCACCCCCATGCTCAGCAGCTCCAGACTCAGCACCCCCAGGCTCAGCAGCTCCAGACTCAGCACCCCCAGGCTCATCAGCTCCAGCTCCAGTAGGACCCGCAGGCCCAGCAGCTCCGGGACCGGCAGCACCAGCACCCTCAGCAGTCGAAGGAGCTCCAGCTCCAGCAGCACGCCTCCAGCGGCGAGCAAACCACTCGCGCAGCTCCTGTGGAGAGAGCGGCTCCCGCCGAGACGGAGCAACCGGAGAGCCCCCAGGTCCAGCAGTCGCAGGCTCCGCACCTCCAGGCTCAGCACCCCCAGGCTCAGCAGCTCCTGACGTAGCACCTCCCGGCTCAGCACCCCCAGCAGCAGCACCCCCAAGCTCAGCACCCCCCGGCCTCGCACCCCCAGGCTCAGCACCCCCAGCAGCAGCACCCCCAAGCTCAGCACCCGCAGGCGTAGCACCCCTAGACTCTGCACCCACAGCAGGACCAGACTCAGCAGCAACCTCGACTGGCTCAACTGTGTCTACCTGGGACACACCTGAAGGGGCAGGAACCTGAGGGGGGAGGGGGTCTACCGGGGGGGGAACTGGCACCAGGAAGTCCGGTGGGGGGGGGAGGGAAGGAGTACGGTAGGGGAAGAGGCGGTAGAAGGGGACTGACTCGTCGAACGTGACGTCCTGGGAGGACAGAACACGACGAGAGGAGGGGTGGTAGAACTGCCACCCTGGAGCGTCAAGGGGGAAGCCAAGGAAGACACAGGGAGCAGCACGAGGGGACAGCTTGTCCGAAGACAAGTCGCGGACAAACGCCCGAGATCCCCAGACACGGAACGCAGACGCATCGCCGACCTTCCCCGTCCACAGTAACACTGGGGACATATCGGGCCGAGAGACCCTCGGGTGAAGGTTGAGCTGATGCGCCGCGTACCGAGCCGCAAACGGCCACAGAAAATGGGGGGCAGCCGCATGCATCATGGACGTACGAGCGACATCCATGACCATGCCAATGCGGCGCTCAGCAATCCCATTTTGCTGTGGAGAGTCCGGAAGCGTAAAGGTCTGGCGGATCCCCTGTGCACGACAGTAGTCTCGCAGAAGGCGAGAGGAGAACTCCCCACCTCGGTCAGAGTGCAGACGCAGAACAGGAAAGTCCGAGCCGAAGCTCCTCCTGAGCTGGAGACGAGCCTCGCGGATCCAGTTGATCAGCACCTTAGTGAAAGCACCCTTGCTGCGCAAGGGGAAGACTGTGGTGTAACGCGAGTAGTCGTCAACCACCAACAGGAAGTAGCGCTCGTGACCTTGCCCACGGACGGGGGCCGGGCCCCACACGTCCATGTGAAGTGTCTGCAGAGGAGCCTCTGTCGGGGGAAAGTGGGAGGAGTGAGGAGCAGCCCTGAGGCGCCCCTCGACACAGGGGACACAGGAAGGTCCTGGTCCCGAAGGAAGGGGAGGGAGAGACTGGGGAAGACCAGAGACAAGAACACAGGAAGCCATGCCCCAAAGACGGGGCAAGGAGGGGTGGCCAAGACGGTGGTGCCACAGGAGAGTCTCGTGAGACAAGAGGCGACACGAGCAGGGGGCAGACTCAGGACCAGACCTGGACGCAGCAGCAAACACCTGACCTGATGCTGCTACCTGACCGGACGCAGGGACAGGAGGAGACTCAGTGGTCAGGGTGTAGAGGCTCGACCCCGGCCGACGCGAAAACGTGGCCAGGTGCCGGCCTGTGCGCGCGTCCGTGCAGTGGGTCACCCGCTGACTCGCAGGAGTGAACTGGTGAACCCCCGCATCCTGCAGGTCTGCACCACTCACCAAGTTCGTCGAGAACGAGGGGAGGTACAGGCCAGACAGGGTGCCTGGGGGGGCAGCCGGACACGGGAGGACAGTGGAAAAGTGAGAGAGGACAGGACCCCCAGAGGGGTCAGCCAGGGAGACTGCAACAGGCCGACCAAGCGGCGTGAGTGTGGTGCGGTCCCGAAAGAAGGAGCGAGAAGCCCCAGAGTCAAGTGTAAAGGTGAGGGAGGCCGAAGCCAACGTGGTACCTGAGAGCGCAGCCTCACCCGCACCTGAGGAAGCAGACTCACTAGCACCTAGAGCAGCAGCCGCACCTGTACCTGGAGCAGGAGACTCACTAGCACCCAGAGCAGTAGCAGCCTCACCAGTAGCTAGAGCAGCAGGTCCTATACCCGGGTCAGGCGGTACGCACAGGTGGCCGGTACGGTCAGCACTAGTAGGCAATGCATACATGGCAGTGAGAATAGCATCATAGTCAAGAGCAAATATATCTACCCTCTGCCTAAGCAACTCCACCCAGTCGGGGAGCTCAGCCTCGTTGCCAAACACGGTACGCCAGGCGTCGCTCAGACGGGCGAAGCAGCGGGACTGTGTATGACTAGGTGTCCCACAAGGCTGACCAGTCCGAGCACCAGTGAGAATCACGTAAGAGCAGCGAACAGAACTGAGAGACCCTCCACCCTGAGCGTACCACTCACGAAGCTGCTGAGGCGTGAGAGACGCGCGGGGGGGTCGCGGGAGCTGCATCTGGCCGCCACCAGTAGTAGAAGCAGCAGGAGTGGTAGCAGTAGTAGCGCCACCACCCCTACAGCCCCAACCAGCGTACCACTCACGCAGCTGCTGGGGCGTGAGGGACTCACGCAGACGTCGATGGGGCCGCATCTGGCTCCACCAGTAGAGGTAGGAGCAGGAGTAGCAGCAGTAAGGCAGGCAGCCAGGCAAGCCAAAAAGGGAGGCAGGCAGGCAAGCAGGAGACGCGCAGCGTGTCAGCAGGGCAGGGGCTCACTAGTGGTGGGTAGAGTAGGCTCGGCGACGCAGCGGCTCGGCAGCACGGCGGCTCTGCGGCTCGGGTGACTCGGGCGGCTCGGCGGCAGGGCGGCTCGGCAGCAACTGCAGCTCGGCAGCTCGGCGACCCGGCGACGCGGCTGTAGGGCGGCTCGGCTGCTGGGAGGCTCAGGTGTAAAGCGGCTCGGCGGCGAGGCGGCTCGGCTGCAGGACGGCTCGAGACGAAGGAGGACGAGAAGCAGGGGAGACCACACACCTGCCACCCCTCAGCTGGCCTCTCAGGTCGCCTCGACAGGCGACGGGAAAAGGGGGGGGGGAGGCGGCTCGGGCGGCTCGGGCGGCTCAGGCGGCTCGGGCAGCTCGGGCAGTCAGCGGCACAGGCGGCTCGGGCGGCTCGGCTCCTCAGCTGCGCAGACGGCTCGGGCGGCTCAGGCTGCACGGCGGCTAACGGGCGGCGTGGGGGGGCCGGGACGGCGGTGTGCAGCAGGGACGGGCGGCGCACGGGCGGTGTGAGGCCGGGACGGGCGGCGCGCGGGCGGCTAGGGGCCTGAACGGGCGGCGCGCGAGCGGCTAGGGGCCGGGACGGGCGACGCGCGGGCGGCTAGGGGCCTGAACGGGCGGCGCGCGAGCGGCTAGGGGCCGGGACGGGCGGCGCTCGGGCGGCTAGGGGCCTGAACGGGCGGCGCGCGAGCGGCTAGGGGCCGGGACGGGCGGCGCGCGGGCGGCTAGGGGCCTGAACGGGCGGCGCGCGAGCGGCTAGGGGCCTGAACGGGCGGCGCGCGAGCGGCTAGGGGCCGGGACGGGCGGCGCGCGGGCGGCTAGGGGCCTGAACGGGCGGCGCGCGAGCGGCTAGGGGCCGGGACGGGCGGCGCGCGGGCAGCTAGGGGCCTGAACAGGCGGCGCGCGAGCGGCTAGGGGCCTGAACGGGCGGCGCGCGAGCGGCTAGGGGCCGGGACAGGCGGCGCGCGGGCGGCTAGGGGCCTGTAGGGCAGGCCGAAAGAGTGAGAGCGAGGGCCCGTAGCGCGCTCCGGGCAGCAAAAAAAAAAATTAAAAGTGGTGGGCCCTAAGCACAGTTCCCACGGGGGAACCTGCTCGATACCATGTGGAGAATAGAACGAGAATGAATGAACTATGAGTGAAGTGAGTACAAATAGCAAAACCCTAATTGGGTTGTACCCCCTATGGTATACCCCACTGTAGCCTACACAACAGCATAAGCTACATATATGTTCTGACATGCACTAGCACCTAGAGCAGCAGCCTCACCAGCACCTAGAGCAGCGGCCTCAATGCCCGGGTCAGGCGGTACATACAGGTAACAGTCACCCGCAACACTAGTATCAACACCATACATGGCAGCAAGAATAGCATCAAAATCAAGATCAAAGATAGGAATCCCGGCCTTAGCTAGATCTCCCCAGCGAGGGATCTCTGACGCCTCAGGGAACTAGCGACGCCATGCGTCCGTCAGGCGACCAAAGCAGCGCTGGGTGGAGTGCGGGCCTCCACACTGCTCACCAGCTCGGTCGCCGGTACGGAGGACGTAAGCGCAGGGACCAAAACCCCCACCGCGCTGGCGTGCAGCGTACCACTCACGAAGCTGCTGAAGGGACAGGGTCACACCACTCTGCTGGTGCTGGCGCGGACCACCACCTGAGCCACTCCTCTGCGCAGAGTCGCAACCCGCTCCACCACCGCCGCCGCCACCGCCGCCTCCGCCACCTCCTCCACCTCCGCCACCTCCACCACCTCCGCCGCCTCCGCTCCCTCCGCCACCTCCACCGCCTCCGCCTTCTCCACTGCTGCCGCCACTGCCACCACCCCCGGCACCACTCCCACCACCACCCTCACTCCCTCCACTGCCTCCACCACCACCTCCACCGCCCCCGCCAGCCCCTCCAGTGCCCTTGCCCCCCTTGCCCCTGCCAGTGCGGCGTTTCACGCTCGGGGCAGACCCAGCGCTGACTAACTCGAAACCAACGAGGTCGGCCGCACTAGCAGAGGCAACAGAGGGCAAGAGGGGGGAGGGAGAACACCCCTCAAAGACGGTGGTGCAAGGGTCACCACGAGAGGCTCCTACAGCAAATATGCTCTTCTCTGTCGCTAGGAGGGCCTTCTCGAGGAGGTCAACGGTGAGAGTGGTGGGACAAACTAAGAGGAAGTGGTCCCTGACTACGCCGAGAGAGTCAGGGAGCCGGCTGACTATGTAGTAGAGGGTGATGTACATGGGGGGGGGGGGGGGTTCTTGGCGCAAAACTCAACAAGAAGCGCAGCGCGGTAGTGAGTGTCACTAGTGCAGAGGTGCGTAATGAGGTCAGCGACTGTGGGAAAGGCAGCATGGTCAGGAAAGAGGTACGGTAGCATGAGGCGGCTCAGTGCAGTAGTGGCAAGGGAAGAGTAGCATGCAACTACAGTGTCGTACAAGGTCTTAGCACTCTTGTACTGGCTAAAGTGTGCACGCTCAATGGTCAGTAAGTGGCGGCGCACAGCAAGGCAAGCAGCAACATCGCGCGTGGCCCACTGTGAGCGAATAGTGGCGTCAGCATCAGCAGCAGGGGCAGGAGAGGCACCCGAAGTGAGGTCAAACAGGGAGAGGCGGTCTGCCCTATCGCACTATAGGAAAAGCTGCAGATCATCTACCCAGACCTCTAAGTGATTTGCCCGGCCCTCAGCGTCAAAGGTGAGAACGCTAGGGGAGGCCATAACAGCAGTAGTGAGTACAGTGGGGCAGGGCAGTGCAGTGGCTGAGACTCTGCTCTTATCAGGCAAGTGGTGCGGTTAGACGGCTCGGCGGCTTGGCGGTCGAGCGGCTCGGCTGCTCAGCGGCTCGGCTGCTCGGCGGTCAGGCGGCTCGGCTGCTGGGCAGCTCGGCCTTCGGGCGGCTTGGCTGGGGTGCAGCTCGGCTGGTTGGGGGCTCGGCTGCTGGGCGGCTCGGCGGTCATGCGGCTCGGTGGTCAGGCGGCTCGTCTGCTGGGCCGCTCGACGGTCAGGCGGCTCGGCGGCTGGGCTGCTCAGCAGCTCGGGCGCTAGGCGGCTGAGCGGCGACGGGGCCGTGGAAGGGAGCCAGCAGGCCACTGAAAGGGCGGTGACGGGCCGCTAAAAGGGCGGCGACGGGCCGAGGGAAGGGCGGCGAAGGGCCGCTGAAAGACGGCAACGGGGCCCGCTGAAAGGGCGGGCGGCGACGGGGCCGCTAAAAAGGCGGCGGTGGGGCCGCTGAAAGGGCGGCGACAGGCCGCTGAAAGGGCGGCGACAGGCCGCTGAAAGGGCGGCGACGGGGTCCGCTGAAAGGGCGGGCAGCGATGGGGCCGCTGGAAGGGCGGCGGTGGGGCCGCTGAAAGGGCGGGCGACGGGCCGCTGAAGGGCGGCGACAGGCCGCTGAAAGGGCGGCGACGAGGTCCGCTGAAAGGGCGGGCAGCGACGGGGCCGCTGAAAGGGCGGCGGTGGGGCCGCTGAAAGGGCGGGCGACAGGGCCATTGAAGGGTGGTGACAGGGGTGCTGGAGGGCAGCGACGGGGCCGCTTTAGGGCGTTGTAGGGCCCGCGGAAGGGCAGGCGACGGGGTCGTTAAAAGGGCGGCGACGGAGCCGTGAAAGGGCGGCAACGGGGCCGCCAAAAGGGCGGCGACGGGGCCGCTGAAAGGGTGGCGACGGGGCCGTAGGAAAGGGCGGCAACGAGGCCGCGTAAGGGGCGGCGCGACGGGGCCACAAGGGCAGCGTGACGGGGCCGCAAGGACGGCGCGACGGGGCCGAAAGGGCGGCGCAACGGGGCCGTTAGGGGCTGGTAGAGGCCGCTAAAGGGGGGGACGACTCAAGGCGCAACTCGGGCAGGGGCCAAGCGTGCTCTGGGCACGAAAAAAAGTTGGTGGGCCCTAGGAACAGTTCCCACGAGGGAACCACCTCTATACCATGAGAAGTATGAAACGAGAGAATGATTGAACTATGAAAGAGTTGGGTACAACTACTAACCCTAATTGGGTTGTACCCCTTATGGGCTACCCCACTACAACCTACACAATTGTATAAGCTATAATGTTCTGACAAATGGTGCTGGGGTTGGCGCTGCTGGAACTAAGGGTGCTATTGGTGCTGGTGCTGCCGTTTGGGGTGCTGGTACTGTTCCTGCTGGTTATGGTGGCGCCGCGCGGCCGCGGTCGTACTTCGTTCCACTCCTTCAGCAAGTTCTTGGTCTTCCGTCCTCTCCTAGTCCTGCTCCTCCCTTAGAGTGTCCGCCCCGTGCCCAGTCTGAGTCACAGTTACAGCCATCCTCCCCACTGCCTGCTCCCTCTCCCTACACTGGTCCTACAAGAGGTCTTGCTGAGCGTCCTCAGCCTGCGTCTCGTCCTGCGTCGCCTGTCCGTGCTGCTCGCACGAGTGGTCGTGGTTCCCGCCAGCTTCCTCCGCCTGTCCCCGGCACGCACCGGATGTCTCTGCGTCCTTCCACTGCTCCATTACGTGCCCCTCTGCCTTCTCCTCCCGAGTCCTCTCTTCCTGCTCTTGCTGACCCGGAGTCAGACTCCCTTCGTGCTGCAAGTCCTACAGTCACGCGTCTTCTTGCTACTGTCCTCACTGATTCTTCCTTGCAGATTGCTCGTGAGGGAGACCCGGATGCACCAGACATCCCGACTCCTCGATCATACGCTGCGGAGATCAACGGTCCCTACTCCTCACAGCGGCTCTCAGCCATGGATGCACAGATGGCTTCCTGGAAGTCCACAGGCACCTACGTCAACGAGGTTCCCCCACCTGGGGCGAACATCGTCAGTGGCATGTGGATTTTCAGGGTGAAGCGGCCGTCGGGTTCTCCGCCTGTCTTCAAGGCTTGTTACGTGGCTCGAGGCTTCAGTCAGCGGTAGGGAGTTGACTACTTTCAGACCTTCTCCCCCACCCCGAAGATGACCACTCTTCGGGTGCTACTGCACATAGCCTCTCAGCGCGACTACGAGCTTCACTCTCTTGACTTCAGCACAGCTTTCCTGCAGGGCAGCTTGCACGAGGAGATCTGGCTACGCCGCCCACTTGGCTTCACTGGGTCGTTTCCTCCTGGTACCTAGTGGAGCCTCTGGCGGCCGGTCTACAGTCTCCGCCAAGCGCCCCGTGAGTGTCACGACACACTGAGGACTACACTTGCGGCTCTTGGGTTTGCTCCTTCTACTGACGACCCGTCGCTGTTTCTGCGCACGGACACCTCTTTGTCGCCATTCTACATCCTCGTATACGTCGACGACTTGGTCTTTGCCACAGCTGACATTGCTGGACGCGCCCACGTGAAGTCGGAGCTGCAGAAAAGACACACGTGCACAGACTTGGGTGAACGGCGCAGCTCCCTTGGCTTGCACAGCGCACCATTACCCTGACTAAGTCACACATGGTGCAGCAGGTCCTTCAGCGCTTCGACTTCACGTACTCCTCGCCTCAGGCCACTCCTCTGTCTACTCGCCACTCGCTCTCAGCTCTGCCTTCGGATGAGTCCGTAGAGCCGACTGGCCCGTACCCAGAGCTTGTTGGCTGCCTCATGTACCTGATGACCTGCACACGACCTGACCTTGCATACCGTCTTAGCACCGTGGCACGCTATGTTGCTCTTGGGAGACACCGACCAAAGCACATGGCTGCAGCAAAGAGGGTGTTGCGCTACTTGTGCAGTACGTCGGGCATGGGGCTAGTGCTTGGAGGGCGACGTTTAGTGGTCCTCTTAGGTCATGCCGATGCTTCTTGGGCTGACGACCAGGCTACGCAGCGGTCGTCACAGGGTTACACCTTCAGCCTTGGTTCCTGCTCTGTTTCGTGGCGGTCTACCCGCTCGTCTTCTGTTCTCGGCTCCAGCTGTGAGGCTGAGATCTACGCAGGGGCCATGGCTACACATGAGCTACGCTGGCTCACCTACCTGCTGACTGACCTAGGAGAGCCGCCTTGTTCTCCTCCAGTCGTGTACATAGACAACAAGGCCATGCTGGCCTTGTGTCGGGAGCACAGACTGGAGCACAGTACGAAGCACATAGCTCTTCGCTAATTCCTTGCTCGTGAGCTACAGCAGCGTGTTCAGCTGCACCTTGCTTACGTGGCCTCTGAGGCCAACAGTGCTGATATCTTCACCAAGGCACTTCCGCCTTGTGATCATCAGTGCTTCTGTATGCTGCTAGGTCTTGTGCCTACTTGGCCTCCCTTGCTCACTTCTTGACCTTGCTTGTACTGTGATCTTTCTATACCTGCCCTTACTTGTTTACATTTATATATGATCTTACATGTGAACTGGCCTTGTGGCCTTGAACTTGTGCTTGGAATGTATGGTGACGTTGTGATCCGCCCTGAGCTTGCTTTACTTAGCTTGACTGGTCTTGTGACCTCTTGTTCTCCCCCACTTTACCTATGGGGGTGTGTCAAACTTTTATGCTTTAGTCTGTGTAGGCTTTAGTGGGGTAGACAATATGGGGTAAAACACATTTACATTTTTTCTACTTGTGCCCACCTGTTTTCTAGTTTATTCATTCCTCATTTCTTCACAATTCGGACGATGTTTTCTTCGACGTCTCCTCGCACAGTTCCGCGTTGATCAATTTTGCATGACTAATAGAGAAAATAAACAAAATCAATAATGGTTTGGGGCATGAATAGAAGATAACTTTTGTTTTACCTTGTAAGCGAGATCAATGAGTTGTCATCGTCGAGCGCGTTGGGGACCACGCAACAGGATTGAGAAGTAAGCACGGTCAAGAGAAGCAATAAATTACAATTGCAGAGCTAAATGTCGAATCAAGGACCCCTTCTTTATAATTTTCCGCAACTGTTGGGCTCATTTGCCCTGGGCCCTCTAATTGGCTGCAGGGCTGATTGGTGCAATAATTTGTCAAACTCATATGCTATAGTCTGTGTAGGCTGTAGTGGGGTAAACAATATGGGGTACAACACTTCTAGGTTTTCCTACTTGTACCCTTCTACTTGCTAGTTCATTCATTCCTCATTTCTTCACATGGTATAGAGCAGGTTCCCTAGTGGGAACGCTTCCTTGGGCCCACCACTAAAAAAAAAAAATCTGACCGGAGCGCCAGTCGCTCCTGCCCGAGGCGCGCCCCGTGGGCCGCCCTTCTGTCGAGCCCTCCTAGAGGCCCCTCTCACGGCCCCTCGCGCCACCCTTGGTGGCCCCGTCGCCGCCCCTAGCGGCCCCGTAGCCGCCCTTCCCGGCCCCTCGCGGCCCCTACGCAGCCTTATCCCCGCCCCTAGCGGCCCCGTCGC